AGAGTTCACTTTTCACCTTCTTCCATTCCCTGGCATTCCTTAAGGCAGTGATATACAACCTACAGTCTCCAGGGTGACAAGCAACTTCCCCCCTCCTTTTTTTTACCTATCAGAACTTGTAACAGCCTAATTAAACTCACTATATTTCATTTACATTAAACTTAAATCAAAGGTACGGAGGGGAAATTAGCAGAGATTTGTTAGATGGGAAGTCCTGCCTCGGGTTATCAGAGGGAGACGCTGTGGCTATAAATTTATCAGCCACAAAAAGTCATACCGTGCTGGATTTTACCATGGAAACTCTTATTACCGTGATGGCGAACCTATGGCACGCAGAGCCATTTGTGCCAGCATATGAGCTGCAGGCAAACTTACTTCACTGGGCATGCACGCGCCTCACAGCTGATTTTCGGCTGGTTTGAGGCCTTTTGGGGCCTCCCAAAGGCTTGAGGAAGGCTTCTGCAGGCTTTGCAGGCTGAAAACTAGCTCTGTTTCGTCACTTCCTGTTTTTCTGAAAATACCAGAAACAGGGCTAGTTTTCAGCCTGCAAAGCCCGAGGAAGCCCTCCTCAAGCCTTTGGGAGGCCAAAAAAGGCCTCGAACAAGCTGAAAATCAGCTGTGAGGTGCAGTGCAGGTAAGGGGGCGGTGGGGTGGGTGGAGATTGCACGCGCATGCGTAGGGGCCGTGGGGGGCACGCATTGCCTTCTGGGTGCTGGCACACGAGTGTGAGCGTGCAAGCCCGCACACAATTTTTGGCACAGGACCCCAAAAGGGTTAGCCATCACTGCTCTATTACTTCTCCTATACACCTGGCAACCATGAACAGAGTTGTCGGGAGGTGACTTGTATTTTGGGAGATACCGAAAAGGAAAGAGGGAGAAGGCTGTGGCACAAATTGAAACCACAACCAAAAACATTTTCTCTCTCTCTGTTGGGAACTGCAAATTCGTCTTTGGTGATGAATCAAAACAGGAAAACTCTTTCTTCTTCTGCAAGGACAGGTACCCAGGCTGTACCTGGACCGCTTTAGATAAGAAATGATAGAAAGCACCCATCGTTATCTTAAAGAGAAGACTTAAAACAGCCCCGTCGTTGCTAAAACTAGGCAGTACACATAGTCCTCGACATACGACCACAATCGATGCCCAAAATTTCTGTGGTTGAAAGGGACCATTTGCTAAGTGAGCCCTGTTCCTGTTTTGCAAACTTCCTTGCCACGATTGTTAAGCGAATTGCTGCAGTTGTTAAGTTTAGAAACACGGCTGTTAAGTGAATTGGGCTCCTCTGTTGACTTTGTTTGTTGGAAGGTTGCAAAAGGAGGACCACATGACCCCTCGGATACTGCGGCCGTCGTAAATATGAGTTCAGTTGCCAAGAACCTGCATTTTGATCACGTGACCATGGGGATGCTTGCAACGGTTGTAGGTGTGAAAAGTGGTGGTTAGTTGCTTTTTTTCGGTGCTGCTGTTAACTTCGAACAGGCACTAAACAAGGACTGTTGCAAGTCAAGGACTATCCGGGCTTGTTCAGATAAATGAACGCTTCAATCTCCTGTTAGCCTGCTTTGCAATGGAACACGGACGTTTGCATCTCGTTTCTTCTTACATCAGCCTAGGATTCGAAATGGTCTTTTGGCTCAAACCTCAATGTGAACCTTGAACTGAATATGAATTTTAAACACACACACACAGAAAAAAAACCCACATTTTTTTTCTGAAGAAGGCTTCTGTTGTTGTTTTTTTCTTCTTCGTCAGAATATATTCAGAACTGGAATAGAGCATGGTAACAAGATCAGCCGATGAATAGGCATAGCAACTAAGTCAGCCAATGAGGAGTGTTTGGAAACTGAAATTAGAAGTAGCCTAGGCGTGGCTCTATATTAAGCTCTGCTGCTATGTTAATCTCTGTTCTGTGCTCAGCTCTAAAGTGAAAGAGCTTGCTTGCTTGCCGAACTAAAGTGAAACTGGGGTCTGTTTCTGAGCTCCTGAGTTGCTGTTGAACCTGTAACATGTCTGCTTCTGTTTGAGTTTGTCCATGTTGGAGAAATCTACAATTGGTACTGTAAAATTTACTTAATATATTTATAAAGACGTTAAAGGAAGCATCAGCCATCTGTGTTTATTTTTCCGGTGCTGAATTTACGCTGCAAAACTCTGAACATTCTTCCCCCTTCCTTTCAGCGCACTGTCCGAATAAGGTGTTGACAGCAAGAACTGGTGTGATCTCCAGCCCCAATTATCCCAACCCGTATCCTAAAATATCCGAGTGCAGCTATAGCATCCGGGTGGAAGAAGGTTTCATGATCATCCTAGAATTTGTGGGAATCTTTGATGTAGAAGACCACCCAGAAGTACTGTGTCCCTATGATATCCTAAAGGTCAGTGGGGTTAGCTTTATAGGCTCTCCGTGCTACAAAACTGGATTTTTCACATCTCTATTTAATTCACTGCAACTAACAAACAGACTAGCTTCCCAAAGGACCCTACGTCATGATTTGTTGAATACTACAAAGGGCTGGGTTCAAGATATGTTAAGCCCTAAATTACAGTTCACAAACAAAATTATCTATCTATCTATCTATCTATCTATCTATCTATCTATCTATCTATCTATCTATCTATCTATCTATCTATCTACATATTTGCCTTGCTCCTATCTTGACAAACTCTAGGAAGCAAACAGCAAAGCACAAAGAAACAGAAAAGCTTTTAAACAACTGATAAAAAGGACTTGCAAAGGCAAAAGTAGACAAATTGCATGACAATCTAGTATGATGTATGAAGCCAGCCAATGCCACAGGGCACCTTCAAAATAAATTAACATTTACAATCTATTTCTATTTCACCACACTTGTGAGCAACGAGGTCCTATCCGCAACGACCAGGTTTTCCAATTTTGCTCAAGAGGATTTTCCCCCCCAAAGAAGAAAAAAACCCTACTTGCCACACAATCATTTAAATTTTAAGGTGCAGTCTGAAATAAGTTTAAAACTTGCCTTGAAAAAAAAAAACACGATAGCACATTTCTGCACACTTTCTAAAGCCATTTCTTTCTGTACTATAGGATCACACTGAAGGGAGATGCCTATTGAATGACATATCCTAAAATCATATGGGACTTGGGTCACAGTGAATCCAATGAACTTCACGCAATTTCTGCAGCCTCACCATAGACCAATTCCACTTTGGATGGGTTACCTTCAAAACTTAACGCATTTAAAATAAGATAAAAGGAAATTAAAAAATAATCGAGGACATTTCTTTCTTAAAACAGTGGCGTCAGACAGAGCCGGACTGCAATATCTGCATGTTGGATTCTATAAAATAACTTACACTTTATGGTTCTTCCAGGTTAAGACCCCCAAGAAAGAATACGGTCCATTCTGCGGCAACACCCCTCCTCCCAAAATTGAGACGCGTAGCAATATGGTTGATATTACGTTCATCACTGACCTTTCTGGGGTTCATGCTGGATGGAAGCTCAGATATGACACAACAGGTTAGAAGGCTTGGGGAAAGACATGTTAGCTGAATGCACGAACTGACGTGTCTGTTAAAAAACACGAGTCAGCTGCCAAGCGTCTGAATTTTGATCACGATCACGTCGTGTGAAAAATGGTCATAAGCCATCTTTATCAGTGCCATTGTAACTTGGAACAGCTACTAAATGTACTTATCTTGATCCTCAAGCAAAGCATTTAAAATTCTCTTGAGGCAAGTTATGCCCATTGTACCAAGACGTTCACAATTCAGATGGTTCCTGAAGCAGTTAAGAAGACGGCAGTGGGATAAAAGATTACAGCCCGTTATGTTGCGTAGATTAATTCTCCATTCAGACCAGGAAAACTAGGAAAACAAAAATCCGAAATGTAGAGAGTTCTGTAAGAACTGCGAGAGGATTTAATTGCATTTTGTCAAGAAGTAGGAAATCAAGGCTGGTTTTTTTCTCTCTCTCCCTGCAGCTTTGCCATGTCCCAACCCTCAAGCACCACCCAACGGCCGTCTCTCTCCAGTGCAGGCAAAATATATTCTGAAAGACTTCTACAGCCTCTCTTGCAACGTGGGCTACGCGCTTTTGGAAGTGTGTAATATTCTTACAGTGTTTTTTTTTACTTCTAAAGATTAGCAACTTATACAGATAGGTATAAATTTTACCTGTGGAACTTGGGCCAAAGCAGTCACTCTGCTGTATGTATTTCACATCCAGAGAGGAAAACTCCAAACATTATAAATGCTTTTAATATTGAGCTGTTATTAACCTTTCCCCGTTTCGTTCTTTCTGGTTGGGGGTGAAGGGACATCAAGCGCTTGCATGACACAACACTGGTTTTTTTTGTCTTTTTTCGGAGGCGGAGGGGAATGATTACCAACAAAGGCATTCTCAAATTGCGAGACAAATTCCCTGAAATCTTTCATTTTTCCTCCCACAGAACAAACTGATTGTGAAATCTTTCAAAGCAACCTGCCAAAAGGACGGTACCTGGAACAAGCCAATGGCCCAATGTACCAGTAGGTCTTTGCCCAGAATCCACGTGGGACTTGGCATAATGTTACTTGTTGCTTGTGGAAATCCGTATCAAGTCTGACAGGACAAAGCGAATGAAAATTGTGGTAGACAAACTGCATAAAATCTGCCTGCTTTGAAATATTTTCAGCAGAGACAGACCAACATACGTCCCAGTTTTCGCTATGAATTTACTACAGGGGAGTTAAACGCCAAAAGAAATCTTTTATCTTGCTTCTGCTGACCCTCCAATTCTTCTTTTAAAATTGATTTTATGCTCCAGAAGTCATTTGGGAGACATTTAAGAGGCAGAATGTAATTTATGTTACTTACAAGCTGAGTAAAAGAATTTGTAAGAATTAAAACAAATGCCTCCGAGTTGCAGATCCCTGATCACAGATATTTAAGTCTCTAAATTTAAGTCTCGGATAAAAATTATCTTTGACTTGGGACCAGATTCTCTACTGCCTAGCCTGCCACTATTTCTGTCCTGATGTTTCTCGTAACTATTGCCTGCATTCCTTCGGACACTTAATTTTTCTTCCTTATCCTTTTCAGTTGTCGACTGCGGCCCTGCCAATGACATAGCGAACGGCACACTTGTGTATGTCACTGGAAGAGAGATTTCCACCTACCAAGCTGAAATCAATTATAGCTGTGAAAGCCCCTTCTATGCCCTGAAAACTGGCCACTCTGGTAAGAGAAAGCTTTTGTGACACGGAAGAGGCTATCTTCAATTTTGCTTGCTAGGTAAGGGAGCTCTTCTGCATTCTATTTAGCAGGATCTTCAACCCAGGACATTCTTATTAATATTCTCTTGAATCTTGAAATATCCTGTAATTCTGAAAATCTCTCCCCCTTATTTGACTGCCTCAATAGAGTAAAAAAAAAAAAAGCCAACAATCCGATGCTTAAAAAAATAATCCTGCAAACCTTACAGTTTCACAAAGGCTATCCAGACTGACCTCCCCTGTGAAAAGGAAGTGCTGCTTTGGGTAACTGTGGATCAGCACATGGAGAAAGAATTCGACAATGACATGACAATCAAACAGGAAGAAGTGCTCCATTAAATAATAATAATAATAATAATAATAATAATAATAATAATAATAATAA